GGCGCGGTGGATGAGTGGTTAGCACGTTTTCCTCACACCCCCAGGGTCGGGGGTTAGAATCCCACCTCCGCCCTGTGTGTGGAGTTTGTATGTTCTCCCCGTGCTGTGGGGGTTTCCTCAGGGTACTCCGGTTTCCTCCCCCAGTCCACAGACATGCACTGTAGGCTGATGGGCGTGTCCAAATGGTCCGTGTGTGTGAGTGTGTGTGTGATTGTACCCTGCGATGGGTTGGCACCTCGTCCAGGGTGTCCCCCGCCTTGTGCCCCGAGTCCCCTGGGACAGGCCCCAGGCTCCCCGTGACCCCGTGTAGGATATGAAGAATGGACGTATAGACAGCACTCGACACGCATCTGGCTCCGAAAACCACGCCACAGGCAGGGTCACTGAGATCAGATTTTTCCCTGTTCTGATGTCTGATGTGAATATTATCTGAACATTATTCCATGCATTGCGCCGCTGGAACGTGACCGGATTGGATCATCGGAATAACTGGACTGAGCAGGTGTAGAGAGGACAGAGTCTGGACAGAGTCTGAGAGAGAATCTGTGAGCAGTTTGAAACCGTATTATCAGGGGCTTCAACGTCCCAATAAGAACCGTGCTTCATGAATCAAAACCTTCTCGTCCCTCCCACCGCTTCTCAGATCTGTTTCTAAAACCGTTCCTGGGGTTCCTCAGGGTTGAAAACATGGCCGCAGGAAACGAGGGGGAAGGAGCAGACAAGCTTTTGCTTTGGGTCATCTACAGAGAAGAATTTAAACACACTTCCAACATACATAGATGTACACACACACACACACACACACACACACTTTCCTCCCGCAGTCCAAAGAAATGCCTTGTAGACTGGCGTTTCCAAATGGTCTGCAGTGTGTGAATGGGTGTGTGATTGTGCCCTCTGAGGCGTTGGCACCTTGTCCAGGGTGTTCCCCGCCTCATGCCCGAATCCCCCGGGACAGGCTCCAGGCTCCAGGCTCCTCGTGACCCTGTGTCGGGTACGCAGCATGGAAAATATGAAAAATGTCACAGGCAGGTCCAAACAAAAAATAAACCTTGTGTGAGCAGGAATCAATCCCAGGTACATCTCACATCTGTAGCTGAGAGCAGTTCATGAACTCGAGAGATGTAGCTGAAGTCGAGGAACTGTCGGAATTCACAGTGCTGCGATTTCTACATCTTATAGAAAAAGAAAAAAAAAAACCTTTCCCGTTTAGGCCACGCCCACTTGTTGTTTAAATCCGAATACAGATACAGATAGTGGCATTGTGTTACGCTCTCATTTCAGTCACCTTCAATAACTGCTCCCACACATCCACGTGTATTTGTGTAGGAAGATTTTCACCTTTAACGCTTCAAGTGGTCGCGTTTGCATTACTGTGTTATTCTTAACAGGCAGAGGTACAGCCTTTGTGTGTGTGTGTGTGTGTGTGTGTGTGTGTGTGTGTGTGTGTGTGTGTGTGTGTGTGTGTGTGTGATGGAACCCACGTCTGGCCCATCTATCATCTCACTCCAACAGCTGTGAAGTGTGTAGGCCACTGGAGACCAAGGGTCTTAGCTCTATACACACACACACACACACACCATACTGCTCATAGCTGCTAATAAACACACACCCAGTTAGTTCTTTTGGGATCCCTGGCCTTGGACAGCATATGGCACAGACACACACGGGCCGGAGTTTTATAATTCAAACATTTCGGACCTCTTCGATTTCGTTCTCAGTATCTTCAGGTGTCTTTAGTGTAATTTTGACTCCTGACAGTTCACTTATGAGCAGACGTCCCCCAAATCTCACCGTTATAAGATGGTGTTTGTGGGATTATTGAGATTGAAGAGATAACTGCATCAGCAACTGCATTTCTCTCTGTCAGAATGTTAGATGACTTCCGTGTGTGTGTGTGTGTGTGTGTGTGTGTGTGTGTGTGTGCGTGTGTGTGTGCCATCTGCTCAGTGTGGCTGAGAGAACATGTGCTCAGTAAATTCCTCAGTCAGTCTGTAGGTATGTTTCCAACCAAATATTTCTCAAGTTCATCCAAATGCGTCCAAATTTCTGGAAAAATGAAAATGGGAATGTTTGTAGTTCTCCGTATACTACAGTCGTGTAGATGGAAGACGGAGATGGAATAAAACCCGAGCCAGCCAGACACACACCGGCACAATGAGTCTGGACCACACACACACACGCTCATTACACAACCATTTATTATTTTGTGTGTAATATTTTGGAGTTGTTCACTTGTGTCCCCGTGTAATGGAAATATACTTGTACAATTCATGTATAACAGCGACAGCGTCAGTGATCGAGTCTGCTGTTACACGTGCTGCACAAATAAATGACTTCGCAAAAGTCCAGTGAGGAGAGCGGGAGCCTGAATCCGTCAGGAAATATCGGTTCGGTTCGGTTTTGGACTCGGGTTGACGCTGCCGTGTCTTTTATGGATTAGTTTCAGAGATTGGAGTTTGTACCTACAGCATTTATCTCCGTCAGTATGGCTTTATTTTATACACACTGCTTGGTCTACACTTAGCTAAGCAGCTTAGACAGTAGTTCAGCTACAAGTCCATTCACGTGTTTGTATTACATCATCTACATACGACTAATAATAAACGCTGAAAACTTTCCAATGGCGAAATTCCGGAGAGCTTTGTAACACTCGGGATTTTCAGCGTTTTACGAATTCTCAAGCAAGAGAATTTAAAAAAGAGTCACGACTGTTTATAGCTGCGATAGTGTGAGTGATAACAGGGACGAGCTTGTTGTGTTCTACAACGTTAAATCTCATTACGAATGCGTAAATGTTCTTGGAAAGTACTTTGAGATGATGACGGTAACTCCGCTACAGAAACTCATCAGCATACGACACATCCCTATCTAATATCTCAACCTTAAACTAGTCTTCACGCTACCGTAACCTGCACAATCCGGTATCGGGAGGGAGGTCAGTCGTATAATTCTACTGCGCTAAAGTGCAGACCATCACTTTTTTGTTCTGTATATCTGCCCTCCGCATCAATACCAGAAATAACTAAAACATGCCTCACGATATTATTGCCGCTTCACACATTTGCTGGGTGAAATGTTCAGGAATAAAAAGCTTTAATGGCACCAATAAATAAATCTGCTACATATTTCTTGCCTAATATTTGTCTGTTGGATTAAAACTCATTAAAAATTCAGTGCTGCAATCTGTGGTTCCTGTACAATCTCTGTGTAATATATATATATATTTTACACTGGAATGTAAAAACAACAACAACAACAACAACAAAATGAACGCCTAGACGTTCTCGAAGTCCTAAAACATCCACCAACAGTCCAATCAAGTGAGATGCAGGCTGAGACGAGACTGAGACGTCCATATGGACAGAGTGCAGCCTGAGATGAAATATCCATCTATCACGGGCTCCTGAGAGGCACAGCAGAAAAGCGTTCACCTGGGTGTATCGTCTGGGTTCGAATACCCATAATGCCTCAGGCCGGGCTCGCTGGGGACGTACTCTCAGCCCTATCCATCACAGCAACTCTAGCCGATACTGGGTTGTCTGTGACCTCATGTATGTGGAAGAGGGTGGATAGCGCTATCCTCCGAGTGTGTTACACAGCATGAGCAGTGGGGGACTGGTGGGTGGGAACTGGTGAAGAATAAATTAGGAGAGAAAAAAAAAAAAGAATCATCCAGTTAGTTTCTCGTGTTGTGTTCGACTTAACTCAGAAAGCCGAGCTTCCTCAGCGTTTGTCTTTAGCGATCTAGCGAGTAACTGTGACGAGTGGCATATATTCATTCATATATTCACCTCCTCTAGACAGCAAACTGTATAATCAATCTATAGACAAGTGAATATATCTTACTAGTCTGCACTAGAGATGTAAACAAATACAAATACATTATTCGTGCTGAACAGATAATGCACACTAAACAAATACAGATACAGGTACGAACAGCAGGTATGGTATTTGGGTTGCCAGGTTTCAGAAACATTTCAGCTTTAACTACAATTCAGAGACTTGAAACTAGCCTTTGGGCCTCGGAAAAGGTAGACGCATTGCTCGTCTTTGGGCGGCACACACAGCGAACGTACAAGTTAATCATTTGAAATGAATGAAATGATTATTATTTGGAAACCCAGCCGAGACGTGCTGCCTTGAGCACTGTGTACGATCTGCATGAGTTAAGCAGCGTTCAGGTCCTTCAGTTACTGGAGACAACCACTGACACATAAACCCTCAGAACAAACCCAAATATCTCTGATTAAAATCCATGTTAATGAACTTGGGTCCACGAGCAGGGTTGCCAAGTTTCTTGTTTACGCAGTCACATTAGACTGAATTATTAGAGATGTTGCCAGAACGTTCCACCGTGCGTGTGGTTGAGGAGCTGCATAAAGTTATGTTCTGTAAATTCCTATTTGTTATCATTTCCTTCCTTTTTTTTTTTTAGCAGTCCTGTTTAATCTGATCTCCGGTGTGTATAGGGAACAGGGTCCACATTACACATTAGTGCTTCCAGTGTAGACTACGCCAGGTTAACTCCAGATCCGAAAACAGATCTGAATATTGTGAACACTGAACAGATATAGATCATGACATCGTGTTACATCTCGAACACACACAGTATAATCCATTTAACCCTAAACACCGCGTGCTGCACTTCACAACTTCACCAGCAGGGATTCTGAGTTGATTAGATGCTTTTTTGGCTCCTAGATTCAGGTTGGAAGTTACAAGCAGCTATAGTGTGTGTGTGTGTGTTTGGGGGGGGGGTGTGTGTGTGTGTGTGTGCACATGTTTATAAAGCTCAGATTGGCATTGTCAGAATTAATCTCTCACACTGTCTCTCCCTACACTACACCTCTCTTCTCATCCAACCCCCACACACTCACTTCATCTGTTTAATTTATATAATGTGTGTGTGTGTGTGTGTGTGTGTGTGTGTGTGTGTGTGTTGCAGAAAACAGTGGAGATGGCATTGATTACAGCCAGCAGAAGCGGGAGAACATCGGTGATCTTATTCACGAGACACTGGAGGTGTTTGAGCGCTACGGAGGAGAGAACGCCTTCCTCAATATCAAATAC